CCCCTCCCCCCCCCCCCCCCACAACCGTACGCGAAGGGAACGAACGCCGGTGACATGGACCTATGAGTCCAACCAGTCAACAAGGGTTGCTGCAAGCAGACTTGGACAGTTCGACCTTACCTTTCTACGGGAAAAATTACCTGTCACTACATTGATGTCTGCACAGAAAAGATTTGAAACTGATTAAACAAGGACATGCACACATTACGTAAATGAGATTGGACAAATATTGGGAAATGCCTTCATTTAACGCACTACAACACGAATGATCAGAATCAACAACTTTCTGAACACTGTGGATTGTTTTAGCTCGTGTGCAGCAATCAAATAATACAAAAAAATGTCTCGAATTTGCGACGGACACGTTGTGCTGAGAGCCTGCTGTGTAGTGTTGCTAATTCTAATACATTCGAAACTGATCACAGCGAAGAAAACGAAACAGCCAGGGTTTGACCGTCCAACCCGAGGAGATACATGGGAGGATTCATTGTCTGGCTGTGAAGGTATGAACTTTATTTGATCTCTCAGTTTTGTTGCTGTTGGGTGTCATTTCCTGAGAACGCTTTAGTCAATGCTTGATTAATGGTTTAGCCGAGTTTTTTAACAATTATTTTTATAACAGCTTGGAATGAATGTATGTGGTCCTACACGGTACATCTATATATGTATAATTTGCCAGCAAGGTTCAAACACCACCACCACCACGCAGGCTATATATAGATAATGAGTTCACTAGCGCGCAAAATATAATTCCCGATTACTACGCCAAATCATTTATATTTTTTTTAATAACGCAACTTCGTTTGGTGCGTAATATTTTTCGATAAATGAAATCGTCTCAATTTAAGGATGGTTAAAAAAAAAATATTCAGTTTTAAAAGTGTTTGGGACATCAGAATATTTCATAGAGTTCATGGGCGTGGAAAAAAAAAGGGGGGGGGGGGGGGGGGGTAGCGAAAATTGGAATGCATAAATGTGCGATACTTGAGTTCATGTTTTGTCAAGTAACCTTAGTAGATGGGAAGTTCACACATTGCCGTCGCCAATGTTTGGTGGGCTATAACTAGTTGTAATTAAATGAAGAATCACTAAACGCAGTGCTCGTGTCGGCTGTTAGTTGTGCTAGGTTCTGGTTCTAGGCCTATGATTAGTGAAAGAGATCACGTTAAGATGGTGTATTGGTGAAATGGGCCTGCTTGCATGGAAATAAACCTCTAAAATAGTAAAGTAATTTTTTTTTTCAAGTTAAGTATTTACAGATGACATGACTCCTCCTCCTCACCCGCCCCCGCCCATCACCTACCCGTCCCTGAACGCTGTCACAGAGTCTCCTCCTGTGTCATACCCACAATGCCCCGCTCACTCCATTATCCCCCAATGCCCCGCCCATGCTCCTTACCAACCCTATCCAGCATTACTCTCTTGGACCCCCCCCCCCACTGGGAGGTGTACAGTGGACAGAGTGGAGCCACGCGATGACTGGCCTCCATAAAAACGGATCGGGTTAATATCAGTGTCGCGCTGTAACAAGGTTACACTACGTTATACAATGGAATAAGCTCACAGCTGCTTAAAAGTAAGTCACTAGCCTTGCACCAGTAAATCTTCAAAATGATCGCCTGGATTCAGATGAGCCGAAGAAACGTCAAGTTCCAGAAAGCTGCTCGTGCAGGAACATTTCAGTCGCAGTATTGGATCGGAGGCAAAGCAAAAGTGCAATGGATACCGAGCCAGCAAACGTTAGAGGCAAAGAAAGAGCAGGCACCCTAGCAAAAGCCGGGGCTACCTAGCCTCGGCCAGAAGCGCCGGTCACTTATCTCGGTGTTAAAAGCTGACTGGCAAACTATTTTCGAACAAAATCGGACAGGCAGTGGGCATACAGGAGCACGAAAGCCAGATGTGTATTTGTTAACATACCGCATCCTAGCAGACAGAATCCCTGGTGGAAGTTAGGTCACGGACAGCAGAGCTTAGTGACCCAAATAAGAACCGAGCACTGCCCTACAAACGCATAGTTTAACCAGCTAGGCAACGCCAGGGACCCGACCTGTCGGCATTGCAGCCTGGTCCCGGAAACCTTAGCACGTCTGTTGAATGCCCAGCTCTAGTTGTCGCGGTGGAGGCCAGAGCGAGGGGAGAATCCCACGTTTCGACAATGGCAGAGCCCAGCACTTGGAGTGGGTTGCAAATGTACTAACCGGAGCTTTAAGAGCGTAAGCTCAAGTCAGTCAAGTCTCAACCAGAATATGTGTGTAAGTCAGTCGCAGTATCATCGTTTCAGTTCGATGCGTGTGTAATTGGAAAAATAAGTGTTGTACTTGTTGAACCCGAGGCCAATATTAACGTTGAATATTACTGTGATCATGCTTTACGCCGAAACATTCATTGAAACGGTCTAGTTGTGATCAGTCAGGGACATATCACCTTCATCTTGTTGCCACCAATCAGGAGCATATCACCTTCATTGAAACGGTCTTGTTGCCACCAATCAGGAACTTATTACCTTCATTGAAACAGTCTTGTTGCCATCAATCAGGAAAATGTCACCTACATTGAAACAGCCTTGTAGCCATCAATCATGGAATTATCACCTTCATTGAAATAGTCTAGTCAGGGAAATATTCCTTTCATTGAAACAGTCTTGGTCCCACCAATCAGGGAAATATTTCCTTCATTGAAACAGTCTTGTTGCCAGGGAAATAAAAAAAAAAAAGTCGTTGCCACCAATCAGGGAAATCACCTTCAATGAATCAGTCTTGTTGCCACCAATCAGGGAAATATCACCTTCAATGAATCAGTATTGTTGCCACCAATCAGGGAAATATCACCTTCAATGAATCAGTCTTGTTGCCACCAATCAGGGAAATATCACCTTCAATGAATCAGTATTGTTGCCACCAATCAGGGAAATATCACCTTCAATGAATCAGTCTTGTTGCCACCAATCAGGGAAATATCACCTTCAATGAATCAGTATTGTTGCCACCAATCAGGGAAATATCACCTTCAATGAATCAGTCTTGTTGCCACCAATTAGGGAAATATCACCTTCAATGAATCAGTCTTGTTGCCACCAATCAGTCCCGATTTAAACCACGTCTATTTTTCCATTTGGTGAGATCTGTAATAAAAAGTTTACATTCAGCGCAAATTGAACATAGTTGATCAGTTGAAACTGTCAATATTTGAGGAATGGATAGCACAGTTGATCAGTTGAAACTGTCAATATTTGAGGAATGGATAGCACAGTTGATCAATTGAAACTGTCAATATTTGAGGAATGGATAGCACGGTTGATCAGTTGAAACTGTCAATATTTGAGGAATGGATAGCACAGTTGATCAGTTGAAACTGTCAATATTTGAGGAATGGATAGCACAGTTGATCAGTTGAAACTGTCAATATTTGAGGAATGGATAGCACGGTTGATCAATTGAAACTGTCAATATTTGAGGAATGGATAGCACGGTTGATCAGTTGAAACTGTCAATATTTGAGGAATGGATAGCACGGTTGATCAATTGAAACTGTCAATATTTGAGGAATGGATAGCACGGTTGATCAATTGAAACTGTCAATATTTGAGGAATGGATAGCACGGTTGATCAATTGAAACTGTCAATATTTGAGGAATGGATAGCACGGTTGATCAATTGAAACTGTCAATATTTGAGGAATGGATAGCACGGTTGATCAATTGAAACTGTCAATATTTGAGGAATGGATAGCACGGTTGATCAGTTGAAACTGTCAATATTTGAGGAATGGATAGCACGGTTGATCAATTGAAACTGTCAATATTTGAGGAATGGATAGCACGGTTGATCAATTGAAACTGTCAATATTTGAGGAATGGATAGCACGGTTGATCAATTGAAACTGTCAATATTTGAGGAATGGATAGCACGGTTGATCAATTGAAACTGTCAATATTTGAGGAATGGATAGCACGGTTGATCAATTGAAACTGTCAATATTTGAGGAATGGATAGCACGGTTGATCAATTGAAACTGTCAATATTTGAGGAATGGATAGCACGGTTGATCAATTGAAACTGTCAATATTTGAGGAATGGATAGCACGGTTGATCAATTGAAACTGTCAATATTTGAGGAATGGATAGCACGGTTGATCAGTTGAAACTGTCAATATTTGAGGAATGGATAGCACGGTTGATCAGTTGAAACTGTCAATATTTGAGGAATGGATAGCACGGTTGATCAGTTGAAACTGTCAATATTTGAGGAAAGGATAGCACGGTTGATCAGTTGAAACTGTCAATATTTGAGGAAAGGATAGCACGGTTGATCAGTTGAAACTGTCAATATTTGAGGAATGGATAGCACAGTTGATCAATTGAAACTGTCAATATTTGAGGAATGGATAGCACGGTTGATCAGTTGAAACTGTCAATATTTGAGGAATGGATAGCACGGTTGATCAGTTGAAACTGTCAATATTTGAGGAATGGATAGCACAGTTGATCAGTTGAAACTGTCAATATTTAAAGGAAGGATAGCACGGTTGATCAGTTGAAAAAGTGTTCCAGGTTTCCGGTTGACAAGTCTGTTGTGGCTTGCCGATTAGGAAGCGTCGGCCACCGACCCCCTCAGCGTTTGCCTGGAAACATAACTACTGGGCACGCCCCGCGTGGGCAGACAAAGGGTGTGATCGGTACCTGCCGTACATAAAACAGCTCCCACAGGGCTGCCGGTTGTGATATTTCGCAGTCGGAATAACTGCGAAATTACAAAACAATTGCAACAATAATTAAACCATATATTATACATTTGTCTCAATTTTTTGGCCCACCCTGTAATCATATAACATGTGTCATGATGTGTGTTCTTAAAAAAAATTTAAAAAAAGCATGCACTTTGCTTTCCTCGAGCCCCTGTGATTGTCTCTAGCTCCATTTTCTGACCATCAGTCCAGCTGTAACTTAACATAATCGTTTTCTTTTTTCACGGCATCCGTTTGTGTCGTCCGCTTGGTTTTTTTTTCTGACCAATTCCTAGATAGATACTGGAGCTAGTTTGGTGGGGTAAAAAAACGTGACTGTTGATGTTGTGGCATTTTGTAGCAATATTCTCTAATGCAAATATTTGCTCTGTTAGGAAACTTTTTTTATTTTTTAGAAGTAGAAGCTTTTAATTATTAATTATCTTCACATTGTACATGAGAAATGCATATTCTATATGCAAACTGCCTACAAGTGCTTTAACAGTAAAACATTGGGGGTGGGGGGGGGGGGGTTCATTGCAGTCAGACTGTTCCGACATGCACCCTTGCGATCACCTGTTAGATTCTAGCCACTGAAAACTTCTACCAGCAGCGGCCTGACTAGGGTTCCGAAACGAATGTTCGTTTCAACTAGGGGGGGGGGGGGGGGGGTTCATTGCAGTCAGACTGTTCCGACATGCACACTTGCGATCACCTGTTAGATTCTAGCCACTGAAAACTTCTAACAGCAGTGGCCTGACTAGGGTTACGAAACGAATGTTCGTTTCAACTTCTTAACTTGGAAATTAAAAATATGAATGCTAAAAATAGGCATTGTTAATCTGGTAACGGTTGGTATGGGCATTGAACTCATTGAGTGAGGATCATCCAGGGTCGCAATTCCTAATAATGTTTGTTAAAACATAATAAAATGAATGTTGCGGTACAGACTTTTGTTTCCCATCAATTACGGTAACAACTATTCCAATGAAACAGATTTTACTCTTATGAAGAGGAGTTATGTTATTCTAATAGGAGATTAGTTGTCCAGTGGGACAGAAGAAAGAGGCCGATTGTGGGAGACGTGTTGCCTTGTAGGATTCTGGGGGGAAGAAGATATTGGCCAACTGTAGGAGAGTGGTATCTTTTGGCAGCGAACAAGGCCATGCGAGGGGGCCACCCATCTGGGGGCCATCTTCAGATGGCGAAAATTCATAATTTTTAATGCGGAATGTGTGGATTAACGTATAATTTTGGGGAAAGAGGGCCCCCTAAATTCAAAGATTACCACGGGAGCCATGGGCGCCCGCAGGTAGGGGCAAGGTGGGGCACTTGCCCCCCCCCCCCGGATTGAATGGATAAAAAAAATTTAGACAAAAATAGACAAAATATTTATTAAAGTAAAGAGAAAGTAAAGAGAAAGTAACTAAGCTGATGTCCTGTCCGTTCGTTCACCATAAAAATACGCTACAGTAAATTAAAACTATATTAAAAAAATTACTAAAAAAATTTTGCCCCCTCCCCCCGGAAAGTTAATCGATTCCCCCTAGAAAGATTTCTGCGGGCGCCCATGACTGGAGCAGCTTTTGCTTGCTAGCGCCCTGGAAGAGAAGAAATATGAGAGAACTGTCATCTCATGAACGTGAGCAACGTGTAGACATTTAATGTATAGTGAAGAAGAAGTATTTATTCAATGTATATAAGGGGTTTAAAAAGCTCCAAGTTTATGCTAAAGACCCTTAATTATTCATAGCTTGGGGCGGATGTCCAAAAAATGTAATTTGTGCATCAGGGGGAGAGTTGTGAAAATATGTTGTTGTTTAGCATGGTACGACATACTTGTGTAGGGCCCAACGGCTTTTTACTGACCTCAAATCCAGTTAAAAACATTTTTTGCCTAATGATTGTATATTTCGTCAAGATCACTGGAGTATTCATTTTATCAATGATATCCTGGTTTTAAACACAAGTGTTTTTGAAGTGTTGATAATTTTGTTGTTTAATTTTACAGATTAAAATTTTCATACTAAAAACTGGAAATATTTTTTTTTTTTTTAAATTAAGACTTTCTTTTAAAGACGAGTCTAAACGTATTAAAAAGAATTCAATAATTTTAAATTTCTTAAAATGCATTACACAAAGGCAGTTTGTGCATAATTTATTTTTAAAAATAAAATAAAAAACATTTAAGTTTCTTCTACATTTGTATAATTCGGATATTATGGCTTTATTTGAGTGCGTTACTACCCTTCTGTAGGCCTACATACTTTCTTTGCGTAATGCATTTTAAGAAATTTAAGCTTATTTTCTAGCTAGCTCCTGATTACGTATCCTCAAATTAGATCACCCATTCTGTTTTAAGTGATGATTGGTAGCTAATTTTTCACACCATCCGATCTGGCTCCTTTAGCTTCGTTCAGTTCATAAACTGCGCCTTCGTGTTCGCCGAAATGATTAAAAAATAAAACAAAACATTTTTTTTTTAATTGAAAAAAAACACACACAAAAAAACACATTTATTATATAAGTTATGTCTTCATTTGTTTTAACGATATTTTCTTTTTATTTAATATTTTTCCTATAAACAATTCTTTAAATTTTAGTGATTTAAATAAAATTTAACCTATTAACACAAATTAAAAAATATAGAAACATAAAGAATGACTCATAGTCATTACGCTTTTGATTAATTTTAACCTTAATTCCTCGATGAATGCACGCCACTTTATTGTCATTTCCTCTCTGCCTCCCTCCCCACCCCCCAACACAACACACACAAAATCTTCCTGGAAGTAAATTGTGGTGCTTAAATTTTAAAACTAGGGTGTCCAGATTTTGCAACAGAAAAAGAAGGAACATCATCTCATTCAAGCATTCCAAAAACACGTTTAAACACTCATCTGGGAGTGTTTGTTAGCAAAGGGAACAATGAAATAATGAAAGATATTAGTGAACGAAATAAGGGCTTGCTCCCTAGTAAAAGTGAAAAGGCAATTCGTGACAGGAGCGCGAAACGAAGGAAAATGGGCAAACTCAGGGCAGTTAAAATCTCCCACTCTTTGAATTTGAAAAAAACAACTTCTCAAGGCAAGAAACCGGACAAAAAAGTGTTCAAAGGATACTTACCGAAGCAACTATTAAACTCAGATTTCGAAGATGCTAAAAATGGGGATATGATTAATGACATGCAGAGTGCTCAAGAAGATGATGGCTGGATTTGGGATATGCTTGACAGGGATTTGAAGGTGAGTGGGCTTGACTGTTAAGCTCTGTTACTGAGTATAGAGCAGTGGTCGGCAAATCGCGGCTCTCGGGCCACATGCGGCTCTTTAGCGACCCGAGTACGAAAAACATGGCACATGACAGGTTCTTGAAAAGAAATAAAAGAAATGCGACTCTCGATTTTTTAACTTTTTTTTATCTTCCTGCTGCTGATTTTTTTTGGCTCTTTTAACTAATGAATTTGCCGACCACTGGTATCGTATCCGGAAATTTGTTTTAAAGAAATTTCGTCGACGGAAAATTGATAGTAATGATGGACGGAAATTTGACCGAACGGAAGTTTGGTCGAATTTTAATTATAGTTCACACTATCAAATTTTGATTTAAATTTCTTTTTGAGCGCATTATTTTGTTTTACTATATCGTATAGAGCGTCAAAAAAAAATTACAATAATTTGACATTGTGAACTGAAAAAATAATTCGACCAAATTTCCGTTCCATCAAATTTCCGTCCAGGAAATTTATTTCAAGCAAATTTCCGGTAACCCATTGGTATAGAGAAAGGTAGTGCCTTATCTATCACACTATTTTAGTTAGAAAAACATGTAGGCCTATGTGATCTGAATTTTTTTGTTAGAGTACTGTGCTGAAAATGTACAACGCAATTTAAAAAAACATTTCCATTTGTTTGGATCAATAAAATAATCGTATCTTATCTTATTTTACATTGAACGTAAAGAGTAAAGAATATTGGGTTCAACAATGGCTTCCCCAATGCTGATAAATGAGTAAAAGAAGGGTATGGGTTGAATATTTTAAGCCCCCCCCCCCACCCACCCCAGATCTAGGTTTAGCTTTGGGCAGCCTTGAGGTTGCAACTAAAGACTAAAGATATCATCAATAGATTTATAGGGAAAGAAAATGAGGACAAAGAACGTATCAAAATTAATTAATAAAATATAAGATTTATTGGAAGAGAAGGAGGGTAGGCTTGTGTTCTGCTTATGATGAGCACAAATAAAATATATAATAATATGTTTCTTTGTTTCACATTTACAATATAGGTAAAGTCTCCAAATATAACAAGAAACTATGAAGAGTTGATGTTACATGTGCATGGAATTTTTCAGAAATTTGGATACTCTATTCAGAAGGTAAAGATACATATTTTAATTCCCATCTAATGTCACCAAGAATGCCAGAAATATTTTTGTTTTAATAATTATTTGACATATATAAGAATAACTTGTGAATGTGCCTGCATGTTGAGTGTGTATGTATGTTCAATGGGCTTATATGTTCAATTTACTTTAAGAATTCTTTACTGTTTTGCTCCTTTTGAAAAGTTGTTATTTTTCTTTATTTTTTTATTTGCCAGCTAGACTCTAAATATCAAGACATTTTCAAGGGAACCAGAAACGGCATTATGTTGGGTGCAAGACATGTTGTAGAAAATCTAAATAAAATCAGTGATGCTATATATGGTAATATATACATTTCTTGACTTATTTATATAATATTTCTATTTGTATATACTTCAGATAAATCGGGTGTCCATAAGTAACATTTGTCATTTGCAATTATTTATTTGGTTGATTGGAAAACAATTTTTTAGTCCCAATAAGTTTGTGGATTACATAATCTGTTTTCTAAAACTTGATGCACAAACCCTGAAATTGATAAAAAACTTATATTTTTTTAAATTATAACCAGTATTAAGGATTGTTTAAATTAGTAAATTTTTGCCTACAACCACAGACAAGTATAATTCCACACAATTTTATTTGAGCTACATTTACTGGCAACGATGGCTAGATTTAAAACAGGTCAGAGTGTCCACACTCTTTATTTTTAGTTATTCTACATTACCAAGTACCTAGTAATAAGCTCACAATTATTTTTGTTAAAACAAACTGGTTACTAACTTCATGTATTACACATCAAATATTTAATTATACCAGGTTCTGTATTGGGAATAACCAATTTCACTAGGAATTTGTTTGTCAAAGCACATAATAAGCAACATGAAAATAAAGATCAGCTCTTGGCAATTTTGACTGAGCAAGTTATTGATGAAAAAGACTTTGGAAACCAGTTAGATAAGTCTTATGAGTCACAAAGAAAGTTGGAGCGGACTTTAAGAGAAGTTCAGAATTTTAAAATGTAAGTAAATCTTAATTAAAATTATTGAAGTAGTTCTCTACAACAATACCCATGTCTAGAAATTAATCATCAAGATTCTAAATGCCCCAAATCAAATTGGATTAATATTTAGAAATATAACATTATTTTTTTTGATTAGTTAAAAAATTACAGAATTAAAAAATCATTCACAGGAAAAGCATGCAGGGGCAAGCCAGATTAAAGCAAGTGCGACAACTCTTTTCAGAAAATTATGATCAAGCAATGATCCGTGACTACTTTAGCTATCTCAATGTTACAATTTTAAGTATCAATAGGTGTATGCGAAAATCTCCCCCCTTACGAGAAATAGAGAGGAAAATGGTAAGTTCCAAGCCATACAATTTAAAATTTGAAGAAAAAAAAACACACAAGAAAAAAACAGATATCAAACTGGTTATCAACTTGAATTAAATAAAATGATTTGTTTTAAGAAAATGTCTGTTGTTTTTTTTTCTCTTAAATTATCCTAATTTATGTTTAAGAATAATTGGTACAAATTATTTATAATTCCTTTAAAAACTGCTAATAATGATCACATAATGTATTTTTTTAGGATAGTAAAAATGCAATCTTTACTCTCATTGAAACAAATTCCCTTCCTGAAGAGTTTTTGCTTATGACGTTTCAAATCAATTCTTTCAGAGCATATCAGTCATTTTAAATGAAGATTTTGGTGCAGTAGGGGGCTTGCTAAGAAACTCAAGTGACATCCTTAACAGAGCACTTATGCTTTTTAGGGTAATTCTAGACTTTAATAGACTTCAGAAAATATGACCAATTGTTCATTCACTTTTCTGTAATTTGAAAATTGTCATAAAATAATTCTTTACTAATAAGAATTTTTGACTAGTTTTTGCTTGGAAAAAAGCTAAATGAATCAGTTTTGAAATTTATACATTGATATGTGGGTTAAAAGCATCATGATAGTTGCAAATTTTTATGTTCTTAGATTAAATTTTAAAAACAATGTTTTTCAGGAAATGCAGAGTGCTTTAATAGCATCAAAGCTGAAAAAAATAAATAGCTATGAATTAAGTCAAAATAAGCCTTGGGTTTTTCGAGAAAATACAGGACAAAAACTTGTATGGAAAGCAAAAAGTCATGCCAATAACCTAGAGAATAGATCTAGTAGTCTGCAAAGGTATATTTTATATTTCTGTGTGTACTGTAAAAAGTCAGAATATTTTACTAATAAAACAATAGTAGAAAATAGGCCTATTCATAACAAAAGTTTTTTCATACACAAACATTATTTCTATTTTGACTTTTGTAAAAGACATTAAGTGAAAATGTAAATAGTTTTCAAGCTTGATAGTTCAATTATTTGACTTGGGTCTATTGTTTACAAAGCAAATATCTTAATTGCTTAAATGCACATTTACTCTCATCTTATTGATGCATAATTAAATGCTTAATATCCTTGTCAAGTTAAAACTGTTATTAATAAATAACTTTACATTTCAGATATCTGGCTAGGCCAAAGGCAGTTGATGTTTTACTCTTGTCAAGAAATAATAATAGCAATGACTTCCAAAGTTTAAGACGTGTAGCCTTTGATCTGAAAAGATTAATTAAGGTAAAGATGTTTTGCAACTTAATAATGTGCTAAAGGTTGTAAAATTTCAAAGAAACAATATTTTTAAAACAGTAATGGATTCATGGTATTTTAAATAATCTTATTCCTCAAAGTCATTTGACACAATTATTTATACAAAAAACTAGACTGAAGGTACTGAATTTTCTTTTTAGTAAACATACTAATGTAGGCGTAACTAAAATGTCATGTTAGTTCATCCATTGATTTGACGAGGACCACTTTATCCCATAGTTCTGGGGCTGCTTCTGTCTGTGGGTGCCCAGATGGCTGATGAGACCTATTCTGGCCCAAAATCTTCTTGTGCAGTAAGGGGAAGGGAGAGATGGGACTTCTCCAGATTCAGTAGAGACCCGAGCTTTTCTTGATTTTCTTTAGTATTATGCAGCAGCTGTAAAGTTTGATTTTTTTTGCATGGAACCTTTGTGTACAAGGAGCACCAAGATTCACAATTTTGGCCCCATTATATTTTTTAAACCAGTGTCCATCAAAAATCAATGGTTGTTTTTTTTAGAATTTCAACAGCGAATCCTAAGAGCTAAATAGCCTACACACTGCTGTGACTTCTAAGTTATATTTGCTGGCTTTCTTCAACATGACTTTAAATAATCACAAGACACAAAATATTGTTGAATCCTTTCCTTATAAAATTAAAGAAAATTGTTTTTATCAGCATTAAAGCTCAAAGATGATGTACCAAACATTAAAAAAAACATGTATCTGGTTATTTCAGGAAATGTATTCATCTCTAGACGTAATCAGAAAATACATTGGAGGTAAAAGCACAATAACCTTGCCAAAATCCTGCACATTGGAACTGGAAGGATCAGGGGATGATAGTTTGGAAATTTCTAGTGATTGCATTAAGGAAGGTAGTGGAATAACTGAATTTGAGGACACTCAGAAGTTAATGCCTGATGATGAGGATTTCTCATTTATAGATGAATCACAACACAAAGAGGCACAAGAGCTACCACCTCTCAGGCAGCTGACGCTTGATGTTACAGATTATACCTCAAGGCTGTTGAAACAAAGTCAAAAAATATACTGGAATTCTCAAAACTTAAACAACTGGCTTGATAGTAGGTCATCATTAGTTTTTTAATGAAGCTTTAAATAAATTAATAATCATTTCCTTTTTTGTCAAAACAAAACAGAAACAATTTAATTGCTTAAAGTAAAAGAGTATATTTCATTTTACATTGTTGATTTTGGTAAAGTTATTAGGATTTTATTTTTTATTTCAAAACCATCCTAAGTTTATAAAATTATATTGGATTCTAAAGTTATGACATTCATTTTTATAGCCATAAAATCAAGATTTTCAATGTTGCAAAGAAATGGGATCAAACCAAAGATATTAATGGCTGATGTTGCAGAGAAATCTATAATGTTTCAAGAGATTAAAACTAAAATACAGCAGGTTAGGGTACTTAAAAATATTTTTTATTGTTAATGAAATTGATTAATTAGTTTATAAAAATATCCCAGGAATATGATCAATTTTAGAAAGAAAGTTTATAATATAATATATGAACCCTTTTACACCTATAACATCCAAAAGAGAATCTGGAACGCCCTTCCTGACACTCAGAAACAGCCAGACGCTGCAGTCTTTCAAAACTGAGTTGAAAACCCATCTTTTTCACACTTCTGGTGGGATGTAGTCTACCTCCTTGTTTTCAGCTTGCTCATATACCCTCATTGTATATTGGCTTGTATTGTCCATTGCTGCATGTGATGAAAGACTTCGACTGGTTATGCTTGTATGTAGATTTTATATTGTTGAGTTTTGAATTTTAATGTGGAAAAAATATAGTCATAAATTATGTTGACTTTGTACCATGCTTCGAGCCTTAAATAGGGATGAAGCGTGTTTTTGAAATGAAATTTATTATTGTTATTTACATGGAAGCTAACATATCAATATGGCACTGATTTAAGAGTAATTATTTTGTTATATCATGAGTATTTAAAGTAGACTAATATTTTGCTTTAAAAATATTCAAAATTATCATTTAAGAAAGCAGTCCAAGTACAGTCTTAATTATGTAGGATGGGCTAAATAAAAAGAACAAAAAGTCTAAATTTTAGCTATCTCCAATTTCTTAATATAATACCAGTATCTAAAAAATGTACCAGTCAGTCATAAAATTGATTATCCTGATTTGTTACAAATCTTTGTGTGCTTATTGGACATTAGGAAAGCTTGTTAGATTAAGAGGGAAATAAGTTAACTGTCAATGATATTATAACTACTAACAATGAACCAGGGCCCAAATTAACCTTTTTTTTTAAAGTGACCACTACATGTTTCAGGTATTACATAAAGTTGAATATCTTAAGACTAATAAATGGGATGATGAGGTAAAGAAAGCCAATGATATGCTGGAAAATGCCAAGAAGCATAAACTCTCACAAGAAATCAAGCCACCTCAAAGAGGAAGTAAAACAGACTTCCAAGATACTGGTATGAGTAAAGTACTTTATAAATTCAAATTTGTTTTACATTTATTTCTTAATATGAAAACAATGGGAATTATTTATAGAAAAATAATGAGATAATAACCTCAAACTACAAAATTAAACTTTGATGTAATATTTAAGAGATTTAAGAATAATTCATAAATTTTTATTGAAATCATATCTCTTTAACAAGACTTTTTTTTACTTCTGTACAATATTTTAGAATCTAAACTCCTGTCAAGTGAAAATTCTATCCAGCTACTCAGGTCAATGACAACCAAAAGTTGTGGAAAGATAAGAACTCAGCTTACAAACATGAAATTAAACATTTCCTTATTGCAACAAAAGGTGGAAAAGGCCAGACAGATATTTACATCATTACAGGTATGTGAGAAATAAACAAAAAGTTGGTTAATTATTTTGAATTCTTTAGCCCCTTTTCTGCGTAGTTTATTTTTGTGTCCCTTATTTATGAGGAGGAATATATTCATTACAACTTTTTATTTTCACACAATTCATATTTTATGTGTGCTGATATAGCCAACAACATTAACTATTTTGTTGTTTATTTAGTCAGGCTTCATTTTAGCAGTACCTGCATTTAAATTCTATGAGCTTTACTGCATTATAATTCCTTTAAGTACTAATTGTAACACTTCATTTTATAACTTCTCTTCCATTCAGATTGCCATTTCTAAAGACAGACAAAGCCACATTCCCATACCTATAATGCAAGATAATACATCGTCATTATCACTTACAACTTCACTACAAATACATATCAAGCCTTCCAGTTTGGATGGCATGGTTTTATTGCTGGCTGGGAATGAATTCGTAAGCAATGCTCATAAATATATTTTCCCTCCATAACTATGAAACATAACTTTATTCATGTAGAATATTTACCATATGACAATGTAAAAAATGCAATTTCAAAATATAATATTAAAAGAATGTGAGTTGTTTTTCTCACATTCTTTTTAAAAAACAAATCTCCAATTTTTGGTGGTTGCTTCAAAATTGTAATAATTTAAAAAAAAAAAAAAATTTAAATATTTATATAAAAATTAATTTTATTTTCAGTCTTATTCTTTGGATTTTGTTTCTAACATTGATTTTCCCTTTCTCTGTTACTCCTATGCTTTGCTCAACAAAACAAGCCTCTTTCACCCTTACACTTTCTCATGATCCTCAGTACTCTTTATTCCTTCTACTTCTACTATCTCTATATTTTCCCTTAAACTGTGCTCCCCTCCCATGTCATCAAAAATATACATAGAGCCCCCAATCGTAGCTTGTGTGAAGCCCCAGAAAAAAAATTGCATGAAGTGAAGCACACCAAAAATTGACAGCTCGAAAGTCCTGTAAAATAGAATTAATTTCTATAAAGATATATAGTAATGGTTTTAACCTTTTTTCCCCAGGCTATTTTAGGGATTATTTTGGATAAAGGGGAAGTCAAAGTAACCAATAGTGCTACTGTGGTGGACTTTGGATTAACCCCATTGACTGTGACTCAGTGGTACAAACTAGACATGTTACGGTAAGTTGGCTATTTTGACATTGAGATTATTTGCTCTGATATGAAGTAAACATGAATTTTTCTAAATGCACATGTATACAAAATTAGGGATGTCAATGCCAAATTTTTTTTACAAACTGATTTACAGTTTCATAAAATTGGTTTAAAACCGGATTTAGGTTTTTATAAAATATTTTAACTGCCTGCACGACTAGGTAATATTTTGGCATACTTTTATAGCTCTTAAGTGGAGTAAAAAAAATTATATCAGTTTGTTTCCACCCCTTTCCCTCCAAACCAAAACCAGGGCAGTGTGTGGTAGTTATTTGTTCCTGGCAAACAATATGTTGGAAAGCTTTTTTAGTACAAAATGTAACTGACCCACTATCAACACAGTCATTGTCAAAGACATACTCAAACATCCACCAACCCTACAAAAAGGCAGTATGAAAAAAAGAATTTAAATGAACACATATTTATTTTTTATATCAAAATATTTTAATTTACTAACCATAAAATAAGTCTAATTTTTAATACCGAGTAAACAAAGATACATTTATCTTGAGATTATATTCACCAATAATTATAAAATAAAAGGAATAAACAAATAAAAAACCACAACATTAAATCATAGGTACACAAACCATCACATTAAAACATAGGTACACAAAGCCATCACAAGAGACAGTCATTACTTTTTGGAAGTAATCTTCCTTGAATTCATCTAACAAGGTTAAAGCGTGCAGTATGGTTTGACACCTAATGCCAGTAACTATTGTATACTGGTACATTTTCTGTTTGTTTATTTTTGTGTTTACTAAAAAAATTAAAATTCTGGACTTTTTAAAATCATGATAAAAAAATTTGGTATCCGATTTGCAAAAATCAACAACCAGTTTTCCTTTTCAAAACCGGTTTTTGTTTAACATCCTTATATTAAATGCACAGCTAGACAGATGGATGGATGGACTTAGATAGATGTATGGATGGCCTAAGGGGTGTATAATTACAGATTTACAGATATATCATATTTTAACAAAGGATTGGTGATTCATTTAATCTGACTGTGACCAGCCAAGATGGTGCTGTGCAATCAATTAGCAAGACGGTTGAAATTGAAGAACTGACTCAGCCATTACCAAGAATGGCCTACATTGGAGGAGTGCCAGAAACGTTAAGGGTATCATCTCAGGTCTCTTAAATAGAAATCTTAAATTTAATTTCATAGTGATCATAAGCTTGCTTTGCTATTCAAATTAAGATTTGAATACCTGTAGGCAGATTTAGACTAAATGAAACAATTTTGTGTTCTATAATATTATTTTTTAATATATTTTTCTCAAAAAGATTTCCCAAGTAAAAAATGACCTAACAAACCAAATTTAAATGATTTTTTAAAAATAATGATTGCTGGTAGCATGTTATTTATATTCAACTCCTCATTCATAGAGTGAACGTAAGCCTTGGGAAGGATGTGTTGGAGACTTATTTGTGAATGGACAAGCACTGAGTCTTTTTAGGCTAGATAGTGAAAGAAGAGGACCAGAGCTGTGCTCCAATCATTGGTAACTTACAAATCTTCAAAATACATGGAACAAAATAACCATTTAAACAAAATTAAAGTAAAGTAACATACAAAATGAAATATTTGTTTTTAAAAAAAAATAATTTATGAGGTGTGTTCATAATCATCATTTTCAAAACGCTTTAGCAAGTAATTTAAAATTTAACAGCAAAATATTTTATTAATTTTTTTAGACTTAAAAGATTGCATCAATAATGCTTAAAAGCCTATTCTTCAAAAATATTTATTTATAAACTTATCAGGCTAAGGTCCATAATTATCCTCATTACACATCAGGATTGTAGGTAAGAGAAACACTTCCACCGTGTTCAATGGAAATGGTTTTGTTCACTATTCAATACCTTACCAAGAAAGGACTGAGACTGTGATTCTAAGATTCAAGACTAAACAAAGGACAGCAAGTTTGATGTCTATAAACAACAAGCTATGGGTACGTAGCATCCTTAATAGCTTAAAAGTAAAAACATTTAGTAAAACACATTTAGTTTCTTTTTTTTCATTTTGCTAATTTTTATGTGAAGCCTGGTTAGCCAGCCCTAAGCTTGGGTACCACGCTATATAAGACCACTTTAAAAATAATAATAACAATAAAACAAGAACGCACATTTCAGGCCTTAGATTTAAATAACATAATAAACGTTACCGGTAACAAGATTATTTTATTTTCATTTTTGAATGTTTTAAATAAGATATCAACTTTTTTCAAGATGAAACTTACACAATAACCTTGTATAGCTTTATAATTTATTGAATCAGCAAGTTAAAACTGTTTAAATTGTAACTTATGCCATCAGAGATTTTATGATCCTGTCTAAATAGATAATGAAGATAGTCTCCAATCAAAAAATCTTTGGTAAATGCAAGCTTCAGATGTTCAATTTAGTAAACCTTTAGTGGGTGTAAAATCCTCTGGATTAAAGAATTTACTTTTTGCTGCTAGATCTTGATTTTAAAAAATTGCATTCTCCAGGTGCAGAGTGTTTATGGCTCATACTCACTGTGTATGATGAAATACCATCTTTAATGATTATATTTCACTCAAACTTGTCCAACAAAGTAATATCAGTTTTGCTCCATGTTTAACGTTGGCACTCATTTTAAAAAAATTCAGATTTAACTTAGGTTTCATTTAGTTACCCATATTAAAATAAAATTATTTAAGTTAAAGATTGTATAATTTTCCTTCCCTGTAGATAAATATGCTCAAACTTTAAAAAAATATTCATTGCTGTGTAGCTTGTAACAATAACAAACTCACCTATGTTAAATATAAGATGCAGATGGTAGTGGTTGCCTTTTTCATCAAGTTGCTTTCCTGTGCTCAATGTAACAAAATAACACATTTGCGATAATTAATAGAATTATTCTAGATATAAAATTGATTTCATTTCTGTTTCTCGTTTGCATCAGCGAACTTTTCAAACTGTTGTCTTATCAAATGGGACATTAAACATTAAAAGTACAGTAGAGGATAAAACTATGTGGCTAAGCTTGAAGTATGCACTGAAGGGTGGTCAAGATTACATATTGAAGGTAATAATGAGGAAAAAAAAGATTTGCAATTTTTTTTAATGTCCAATTTTCAAAATTCCAATTAATTTTTTTTTAAATGTAGGCCTATTTCTATAACTACCGGTTTAAGATTTTTACCTAAATTGGTTAAATAATGTTTAAAAAAGATTTAATGTCCATTTTATTATTTTTATACTTATTACAGCTTTACACAGATTATATAATTGTTGGTGAATTGTTTATTTCAGATTATTTCTGGAAATGGCAGGTTTTCTTTTGAACTTAATGGAGATAAAGCTGCTTTTTCCGAAGAAAAATCATCTCTTATGGTGCCAAACAATTTGCGGGATGGAATTTTAGTTGGAGCATTTATTTCAAATGATCATCAGTTCACTAATAGCTCATTTAGGTGCATCTGATATTATTTATGATAACTTATATTAATTGTACCATTAATTGATACCAGGGATATTAAAACTATATTTAAATGTACTTTTCCTTATTCCAAACAAAAAAAGAATATATTTTTAATATTTGGCTTCCAGACCTTTCATTGGATGTGTGCAGGAAGTTAACTTCAATGACAAAAGACTTCCTTTATCCAGTGCAGATGAAGTTTTCAGTGCTTACCTGGGACATTGTGAAGTTTCAAGTCTCAATGTAATGTGTGGCATTTTACAATATAACACTATCTTATCCCTACTTTAAATTTTAATGTTTAATTAGTGCAGATCTGGTTACTCTTAGGTCTTTGGCATTCAAAGGTATGATTTTGAGATGTCTTTTACGATTGTACTCAGAGACCTGTCAGCACTAGGATTTTAAAACTGGGTTGAAATTGAAAAAATATCTTCTTCGTCTACATATTATATGTTGACTTGGGGGTTGGAAGGCCTGAGGCAATAAACGCAAATGTTTCAAGTATTTTCGCCTCAACTGTTCCTTTTGGAAGCTTGTTCCAGTCCTGATTATTTTTGATAGGGATGAGCAGTTCCTGTACTGGCTTCTTGCAGGTATAAGCCGGAACTGCCTGTCATGGCCTCGTCACTGGCTGTGGGGGAGAGGGACGAGTTTCTGTGTAATGCTAGAGCAGTGGACCAGCCGATTATTTATCTTGTACCTCATGGAGAGCCTGGATAGTCCTCGTTCCTCCAATAATGACCAGCCTAGTGTTTCCAGCATGCTGCCAACACTAGAGGTATTCCTTTAGATGTTCAGGACAAAGCGTGCTGCCCATCGCTGGACCGCCTCCAACCTGTCAATGCTCTTCTGGGTAAATGGGTCCCAGACAGAAGAGGCACAATCTAAAAGCTGCCGGACAAAGGCTTTAGAGGCTCTTTCTTTCACACTGGAGTTGCCTATCTTTAGATTTGGCTTTAAGAACCCTAGGGTCTTATTTTGGTGGTTGCACACATTGTTAAAATGCTTGTCCTAGCTGACCTCTTTTTGAATGGTAACACCGAGGTACTTTATGGAGTAAACTGGAACAAGTATATGGCCATGCAGTTCGTAAGGGTGGTGTAGAGGAGTACAACTTCTAGACACTGACAGTGTCTGGAACTTGGCAGGATGAAATTCCATGTCCCAGCTCATCTTCCACTCAGCTAACCGAATGAGATCCTGTTACAGCTGGTCCTGGTCATATCTGTTGGCGATCGTTCTATACACCATCGTGTCATCTGCGAACAGTCTTGCTTGGGATGTCAGTTTCTCGGGAAGTTATTGATGTATGCTAGGTACAAACAGGGGCCTAGCACAGAGCCCTGACTTAACACCGGCAAAAGAGGAACTTGTACCGTCCACCACTACTGCTTGGCATCGGTTGCTGAGAAAGCTAGTTTTAGTAGTGCCTTTGATCCCATATCTCTGAAGTTTGTGTAATAGTAAACTATGATTGACGCAGTCAAATGCCTTTAAGAAGTCTGTCACCAGCACATCAGTTTGCTTGCTGTTCTCCAGATTGGTCATCAAGTCTTCTACAAATTCAAGGAGCTGGGTTTCACATGTTCTATTGACTTGGAGGAAGCCATGCTTACAATCATTGAGTATATTTTGGCTTTCAAAATGCTTCATGACTGTGCTTATGATTATGTGCTCCAACAGTTTACATACCACGCTGGTGAGGGATTTCGGATGATAGTTGGCAGGGTTGGAATGCTCCCCTTTCTTGTAGATTGGCGAGACATGCGCTGTTCTCCAGTCTGCTGGAACATTGCCTGTGCACAGTGACGATTGGAAGAGGATTGTCAGTGCAGGAGCAATTTCTGTGGTGTGTTTTTAGTGTGTTCACCTGAAATTCACAATATGGTATGCATTGGTCTGATATCCTGGGTATGACCGCAACTTTTGGGATGAGATGTGGACTGTTAGTGAGGAGTAGGTCAAGAGTATCCCCCCCCTTGTGGATTCTTTAACCAGCTGTTCCAAACCATGATTGTTCATCATCTCCTTGAAGTATGAGTGTAAGACAGGGTATGGGACTTGGTCTTCAAGGCCAATTCCAACCAGGAAAGTTAAAATCCCCCCCATAAGGAGAGAAGTGTTCTTCAACTGTGTTGCTCTCTGAAGCGATACCTCGAGCCTCCTCAGGCTTGGTTCATCTGCTGTGTTGGGTCTGTAATAGATACAAACGTAAAGTGTGCATCAGTTTCACCTTCACCCACAGTAGCTCGCAGTTATCAACATCTAGTTTTGGAACAGCGTGACAGTCCAGGCTGTCATGGACAGCAACAAGTACTCCTCCTCCCCTGTCTTTTTTGTCTCGCCTGAATAATTTGTAATTATCCGGTACAACCTCTGCGTTGGCTATGGGGGGATTCAGCCTTGTTTCTGTGCCCATTGTGATGTCAGGTTTTAAGCTGTTTATCAGGTTTGCTTTCTCTACTCTCTTCCCGCTTGTCATCTTTTGCGCAATGGTCTGTGTTTCCATTTGTCCTGCTGTCTACAGTGCATAGCAGTTGAACAGTGTGGTGGCTTAAAACTTTGAATGTCCATGGGTGTGGAGCATGAAAGATTCAGGGAGAAATCTGGGAAGGTAGAGTCTGTCCCTGCACTATGGAGGTCAAACACAGAATGGGTATTCTGGCCGCCACAGAAAGTATAGTACCTCGGCACGCCAGAATTTTCAGTATGCTGGTTGTAATAGGCTGTGTCGATGATTTGGCATTGAACATGGAACTATTGCCCATATTGTTCACAGGCAACGCCTCTGTCCTGCCACCGTACAGCAAGGTCACAAGTACTGCAGAATCATGATGAATGGGATTTGGAACATGAGCGGGTATGCAAGGGAGGAGAGCCATCACTTGCAGCAACATTCAGTCCAGGGGGATTAGGAAAAAACCAACAAAAAATTTTTGGTTGTTTGTTTTAGCTTCTTTCTACATCTTGCAATGACATATGATTGGCTGGGGACCATTCATAATTATATTGATTAGACACACTGAGAGGGGAAAGGACCAGGGTGGAGGTCTAGTGACAAATTTAGTCAAAATTCACTTGTTTGTGACATAATCATTTCATTCTTCGGCTGATCCGTGGCGACTGCAAAAAACTGAGAAAACTATGGCTTTGCTTTTTTTTAAAAATGCATTCTCAACTGCTCCACACTGCAGTGCTAGATTTTAAAATATTTTGTAAGATCTAGTAAGCAGCATTTGAATCTATTTTTAGAAGTCATTCAGAAGCAGTACAGTTTTAATACCATAGCACTTAACTTCCCTTCTCCCAATTCTGCTTGCTGCAGCTATTAGTATTAGACTATGATAAGTTAACAGAAAACCAAATCAGGCTCCTAGTCTTAATGCATGGGTGACCAACATGCAGCCCTCCATGTTAAATATCATGTATATTCATTTGTATCGCAAATGGAGTTATTCCTTCATTTAATTAGTAATTATTTTAATTCTTTGCATTAAATCACATTTTAAATTTATATATACAGGAACATCACTTTTTGTGATAGTATACGACATTTTGCTGTAAGCACCACTTTTGAAAATCATTTTTTTTAATAAATTGAACTAAGTACCAGTATCTCAAATAAAAATTATAAAACAAATATACTACATTAGTAATTACTAAAATTAGAAGGTATTATATAAACATGGCTAGGTATAGGGAACCTAATTTTCCACACGCATTTCTTTAGTTGTTCTCCAATTAAGTGTAGAATTAAATGATGCACTATATTCAGGTTTGATCAAAGTGCATCCTTGCATTTTGAATTTATTAAAAAAATTCGCTTTCACCCCCTCTTCCGTTCCTGTGACTTTTGTGGTGTCCACAATTTCAGCTCCCCACCATATCTTTCTTCTGTCAAAGTAGCAAAAGACGGGCACCATTTTGTTTGCAAAAAAGCACTATATATAAATAATATATACCTACTTAAACATCAGTCATCTACTTTGAGAAGTGACCTTTTTAGACATGCCATACAAATCATCAGCACCAGGCATGAGAAGTGACCTTTATAGACATGCCATACAAATCATCAGCACCAGGCACAGAAACATTGCAAATCCCCTCTATATGCATAGGAGCTAAAATGATCAATAAATTGATCCTGGGCCCTTAATATATAGAAGAAGAAATAGTAATAGTATGTCTATTTATTTAAATTACAATATAACACAACATTGTAAAATTTTTAGATGGTACAGTACTATTCTGAAACAAGATTATACTATTTTGTAGTTAGTAATGACAAAATAGTCTCCAAAACAAATGAATGCTGCTTGAGAACTGATTTTACTTTTTTAGATAGGTTCTGCAAGCTACCATAGTATTTAATAGAAAAAACATATAATTTGAAGTACGATAACTTTAACAAAGAACTTTTCAGACATTTTAGCCCTCATTAATTAAGCAATGTTCTTAAACTGTCTGAGGACAGACAACATAGAGCAGTCATTAAATTGTAAACATTGATACTGGTATTACTATACATATACAGCAACTAATTTTAATGCTTTGTCTTTCCCTTGTGATTCACTTTTTTTGCTTGATGCAAAGTTGTTTCTTTATACTCTCAACTCCTTAGTTTGTAGAATGTCTTGTTATTTTAAATTTTACCAGTAATTGTGTGCTTCATAGTTATTTCATTATAATGTTGTGCTTACTTAGCACTTCCTTTCATTTTTTTTTTATTTTTTTTTTTATTCTGGTCTTTTCTAGATATGGCAATCATGTTGGCAATGGATTAGAGGTAGCAAGTCTCTGATACTTGAGGAAGTTAATGATTCTAACAGGATCTCAATATTGGTGTCTCAAGATGCTCAAGGCATGTTGCTACATTATTCTAAAAAAGATGTAAGTATTTATAAATATTCATCCCTAAATGTAAAAGTAAAAACATTTAAACGAAACTGAGACATAAGTAATGGCATTTAATGTCTTTGTCTAAGTGAGCTCCAAATAAAATTTACATGTGTGCTTTCTGTATATTACAAGGCCAAATCCTTTTCCACAACAGAAAGGCATAACTTAGCATAATTTAAAACTACAAAGATTTTTCCCATTTTTAAAAAAGCTAAATGATCTTTTTGGTTGCAAAGAAACTGTTGTGTTGACCATCATTATTTATGCAGGGCACTACAACACCCACGCAGATCTATAAAAATAATATATATGTGAATTTAAAGGCTTAGATTACGTTGCATAAACCTGAATGTATTTAAAATGTATTTATTTTTTTTTACTAAAATCTGTTCTATGAAATAGTTTAAAATTTAATAAGTTAAAAATACAATATTAATATTTAACATTTCAGAAATTCAGGATTAATGTGTTACTGAGAAAAGATGGTATCACTTTAACATCACAAGATAAAAAGTATGCTATCAGTCGACCCAGTAAATATGATTCTTGGTTCTATGCCATTACAGTTACAGACCTAGGTAAAAAGTAAGTACTATATAAAGATATCATTTGTCCAACTTTGATGGTTTGCAATATTTAACTTAAAATTTCATAAGTTTTAACAAGTGAAATAAATTTGTTAACCCAATTTTAAAATATTCTTTTGCCAATAAATCTATGGAGCAGGTGTTCGAAAGATGTTTCATTTTTCATGAGCTCTAACATTTTTTAAAACAGTAGACTTTTTTATATTACATGTGATACTCTCTGTAAAAATAACACACTTTTTATTTTATGGCTACCACTACTACTACTACCAGTTGTACAAGTAGTGTGACATACATTTAAGTAAATAAAAGAAATCTTACACTGCCTTTCAGAGTGTTGGTAAAAGCTTGGAACCAAACTGAAGTCATAACATATGAAGAGGGCTGGTTTACCTTTTTTAGAAGACCAGACATGAGCCAGCCTCATACAATAGTAGTTGGTGATCAAAGTGATGAGCGGCCATTTACAGGTGGTGCGACCCAGTTTGTTGTAGGAAATAGGTAAAATGACTTTTTGCAGTGTACTGTAAATCAAGAGGGGAAGGAGTAACTAATGGCAAAAAGAGCTTATTACATTTGTTTAAACAGTAGGCCTTTTTTTATAATAAAGATTACTAACTGTATTAAATACTATTATGTAGTCATGTAGGAAACAAAGATTTTTATTAGTTCAGAATTTAATGGTAAGCCTGTAAAGTTAGGATAAAATGCCTAGCATTTAAAAAAATAATTTAAAAAAGCAAATAAAAAATTACCATTGTCACCTCATGCTAATGTACGGTAAACAACGAAATATGAAATTTTTAGTGCTTGCCATATCATGTACATTAACGAAAATCAACTTGTTTTTAAAACTTCCGGTAAGTAAGATGTTGCTCAAGGTCAATTTTCCAACAATTGAATTGTAACGGTACCGGGTACGTCAATACCACCAGCATAGAATTTTAAAATTGCAATTTATTTTTTGCCTTTTTTCATACTGTGGTCACATGGTTTGTCAAAGTAACTATAATATCAATTTGCTGATTCATTTACTGTCTACAAGCCAGGAGGGTTGACAAACCCAGCACAACTAGTGGGAAAAGTGGTTTTATTTCAACTGTAACTGACAAATCTCTAGGATCAAATGGATTAGAAAGTTATTTAATCTTTTTTTTTCAACATGCATAGTAAAATTACTTAAATTTAAACCAAAACACATTGTACCCAACTCATTCTTTAAAATCTACTCATTGGTAGATTGTGAAAGTAATTTCTTTATTCACCCCCCCCCCCCACATTTTTGTACAGCACATAGCTAAAAAAAAATGAGCTTCCCATCTCTACAAAGTTATTTTCATATACATTTAGAAACACTGAAATAAGGTAGTTAGTAAGATAATCAAGTATGGTATTTTTCTGTGTAACAGAATTTTATTTAATACGGTATACATTGTTTAAAATTATTGTCCAATATATAAAATTATATTTTTTATTTCTACAAATTTATTCATAATAATAATTATTTACAAATGTTATCTATTCACAGACTTCATGATCTCAGCACTTTTTCCGCAACCCATAAACTTTCACATTGTCAAAAAATGCAGGAAGTCAGACTTGAGCTTAACCACATGTTCACTCAAACATGCTCTTACGCTTAATAACTATTTAGATTTAAGAGAAACGGATTCTACACTTGCACTGGTGCATAGAGACAACAGTGTCGCTGAGCTGATCACATTTGTGACCAAAAGTTCCTATTTTTTGTGTATTGTTTTGTTTTTTTTAAACACAAGAACATCATTATAATTATATCTCCAAAGTATTAATACTATTAACCTTTATTCAAAGTTGTTTTTTTAAAGAATGCTCATGAAAATTTTTACATGTATTAAAAAAGTAATAAAACATTTGTTTTCATCTCCTTGTCTACAATATTAACGAGAACTACAGCAAATTAAATAATTATTTTTATAGATAAATAAAAATTACCATTAGCTTCATCAAATGCAGCTTGATGTCATTTTAAAAAACACATATATATATTACCTTCAATAAAATTTGTAACTGAGCATATCTAAAGATATGATATATGCACAATCTAAAAGGACCAAAATAATCCATGAATTAAGTGTCCATGTAGGTATACTATCTATAGTGAGCTGGATTGCTGGTGGTCAGCAAAAAAAACATTTTAAAATTTAAAGACACCTTTAAGCATTCAAAAGACAGACACATAGGAAGAAGTTGCAAAGGGCTGAGCATCATGGTGTTCTTTTGTACACGAAGGCTCCACACAACACAAAGCCTGGGTTAACTCTGCACCTTATATGTCCCATCAATGCCATGCACTTACTGCATAAGAACATTTCGTGCCATAATCTGCCTCATCAGCCATCTGCGCAGCCACAGCCAGCCTCATCAGCGCTCTGAGCACCCTCAGCCAAGTTTACAATAAGCATTAAGGTATATGATGATTAAGGTGGTCATAGCTGATATTGGCAGACAAACTATATACATATATATACATATATACACTTATCTTCACAAAGGTCAAATATCTGTGCATAATTTTATAAGTAAAAATCAAGTAACTCTATTATAAGTAACTGACCAGGACATGCTTCATGTATTTTTTTAAATTTAAATATAGCTCTTGGAATATTAAGGTCCAAAGTTATGCTCATAATTCAACATATTTCAAACAAATCCTTCTGCACTCCCTCCCACATTAGGTGTTAAACAGTTCTACATATAAGGTTAGCATTCTAAAGCCAATGTCAAATCACATTTATAAATAAAATACAAGTTTATGGGGAAGCATGATGTACAACATACAACAAAAGATATAAATTATATACATTGCTTCCAAATGTTACTTGTACTAAAAAAGTACCTAAGTCTTAAAGTTTTACATTTTATATTTTTATCCCAAATTATAAATAAAACTAAAACGGAACTCATCCACACATTTTGGCAGCAGTTTATATTAGTGAACACATTCAGACAGCAGAATGCTTTGGATTATTTTTTTTTTAGCCTTGATGATCTTCTTGTGCTGTATGGGTGGGCATTTTCATTTTGAGAGTCATCAGTTGTCTGTAAAAAAAATTTTTTAAATAATTTAATTCAGTTTTCCTGTCTGCATTTTGTTTCTTGTGATCTTAATCTAATGACCACTTCCATTTTATTAAATTAAATTATAAAAGTAATATGAACTGTTTTTCTTTCTTCTGGAGCCTTAAATGCTGCAGAATACCTAGAAGCAAACAAGTGTGCTGTGAGACACCATTGCAGAGATCTGGTCTCTTGTCTAGACTCCGTTCACTATCAGACTATGAAAGACTTACTGTATTTCACCACAGTGGCAGTTTAACCATAATTTAAAACACTGCCGTTTTGAATAAATTTAAATAGTTCTTAAACCAAAATATTACTTACCAATAAAGAAGACAAATTTAATGGCTCTAGAACATGCTTTTTCTTCTTTTTGCTGCTTTCTTTATCAACTTGATGTTTAGCTAAAGCAAATAATACCACATCTTTAAATGACACTGCTTAAGAAAAAGAGTTGACTAAAGAACAAATTTCATCTGGTAATCATCACTTAATTTAATTTTAAAAATATATAACAATGTGCACTGTCTGTGATGGGAGAAGTGTGATGTTTAGTATCATTGTGGCAAGAAGATAGAATTTTATAATGTTCATTTAACTTATAAAATAAAAGTTTTAAACCAGTGACAAACCTAGATAGTATCTTTTGTAATCTTTACTAATTTATGATAAATCAGACAAAACTACATATCAGTTTTTTACATTTTTTATATATATATATATATATTGTATTTGCAGTCAATTAAGTTTAAGAGTGAACCAACTCTTTTTAACAAAATTAGTTAAAATCAATATTAGCTTAATTCCATTTGAAACTGAATTCTATGTTGAAATAGGTTTAAATAGTTTTGACTGGTTGATCTGTGCAGGTCATGGTCATTTTTCAGTGTCTTCTAAAAAACCAACAAAGAACTGGCTCAATAAAGCAACTACATAATATATAAATTATAAGGTAAAAACTTCAAATTAGATTTAACTACAGAACAAATTTATTTACCATAAGGAATTTGTCTTTTGAAAAATCCAAAGACAGATGTGCTTTGATACATTTTAGAGCTGGGGCAATCTTTACCAATTAAAATTTCAGAAATAAATTAAACTACAGCAAAAAATTTAATTGAACCGTTGATACTAATTAAATCAGGTTAATGTTTGTTTTTTTTAAATAAATAATTATCCTAAGTTCCCTGCATTTAGTGAAAAAGATGGCTACTATAAGCTAAAACTGATACGGTAATTGCTTTTCCAGACATTTAAAATTTAACAGCAGATTAAAATGGTGCAAGCCTTACCAGATCTTGTGTGCGGTGTCAGATTTGAAAGAACCTCATTGGCTATTTCTACAACTTTTCCACCCGCTGATTGCAATAGGTTCTTACATGGGCTTCCTGCTCTGTTGGGTGTTCTTGGAGAATTTTCATTCTGCTCCTGGAAATAAACCCATAAGTCACTATACTAAATCAGTCATAAATACAGATATCATAATAAACTATATCAATTAGTGTAAACTAATCCTTTAAGGAATCATATAAAAATTGTAACTATTACTTTACTCAATAAATGGCTATTTACCTCAATCGTTTTAAGTGACATACGCATTGATGGATAAGCCTGTAAATATAAAAAAATTAAATATATTTTTATATCTTCTCTAAAAACAGAATTTCCAAACATGACATCGCTGAATTTTCAAATACAAATTTTAAATGCTGTCTACCAATAGCCTCTGAACTCAGAAAAATGTACCTCCGGGTCACTAGCAGAAGATAACAGTGCAGGAGTTGGAGAATGTTTCACACTACCCAGCCTTTTACGACATTTTTTAGCAGCAATGGGAGGTGTTGCATCAATTTCAAGATGTCCAGTGGTGTCAAGCTCTTCAACAAATTCTTTTTTACAGCAAAAATTATCTGGACTGGCCATAGTAGGCGGCGGTGAAATACCCTAAAAAGATAATTTACCAGAATTTCACATTTATTTGCACAAATTGCAGCGAGTTTTAAGAAATGCATAAATCAACAGTAAATTAAATACCATATGATCCAAAATATATATTACAGTAGAACTGAAACTCATGCATATTCAAGGGTGCATATAAGTTTGTCGCCACATGTTCCAAGAAGTAAAAGGAAAGTTATGTTGTGCAGTTGTAGAAATGGGGCTATCGCAGGAAAAAGTACGAATGTTACATATTTTGCCATTTTTGGAAGTTTACCGAGTTAACGGAAGGCAAGGCTTGATCGACCAGTAACTATAAAAAAATTAAAATCAAACACATATTCTCATGCAGGCACTGCATTTGCCCTGACAAAGTCAAATATGTCAAATGGCCTTCAAACTTAAGCTACTGCATTAAGCTAGATATTACTGTTCTGATATCTTTCAAGTTGACTTGTGGAAACACAAAGAAACAGTATGATGATAATTATGAAACTTTTAAGATGTGCTGCAAAACTTTTAAATTGTTTGAAGAAATGCAATTAATAATATATAATAATAAAAATCACACTTCTGTTAAAATAAAGACTAAGAAATATCTTTAGAGTAGTTAACAAAATACAGAAACTTGCATCCAAAAACCTCAAATCAAATATTCCTACATACTTGAACCTGAGCCAGTTGAATGGACAGTGTATTGTTAGACTTCTTCAAATCAGCAATTAGCGAGTCTTTCTTGTTGGTCACAGTTGTTATCTTTTTTGTTAACTCTGCATTTTCCCTTTTGACGAGTTCATTCTGTGCATGGAAAAAAATATGCTTTTTTTATCCCATGAACTGTCGTCGGCCGATCCTCCCTTCCCATACTGTGTCGGCCGCTAAAAATTGCGTTGAAAGAATAAGTTCCAGTTCAATTTTTACACCAAATAAAACCACTTCCTTTTATTAATAAATGAACTTCTGATTTCCGCTCTTCTGTGTCCTTTTTTTAAACTTTGGAGTTATTTATTACAAAGATCTTTATCAAGCAAATTTGTGTAAGTAGATTTTCGCGAAATGGTTGAGGCCATAGCTCGACTATCTGGCTTACAAAATATATCAGTTTGGAATCTTTTCGATAACTTTTAAGTTAATGACTTAAGTGATTCGGAAGATGATTTTCCGATCACACACGAAGACAATGATATTTCAGATTATTTTTCGAGTGGGTAAGAAAGCAAGAGTTCGGACGATCTAAGCCTAGAACGAGTAGGTGTTTGCCCCAACAACAGGACTCGTTCAATCAAAACTATGTTGCAGATATTTGTGTACCAACAAAAAATAATTGGATGTTGTTCAATATGTTTATTTACATTTCATTTTATGGATTAAATATTTATATAGCAGCTTTTAAAATTGTATCTGTTTCTTGCTACTTAGTAATGTTTATATTGTTTATGTTGTGCTTTGTTACTTGAATGTAATTATAGGAATCAGAAGAATTTTTTTTAAAAATCTATTATTAAATAAAACATACAAATAATACATTTTCTGAAAGATCAATAAAATGCTATCATATTTTAAATAAACCTAATATGCCTTCAAAAATTGTAGTTTGAGGTACTTGATAAAAATTTTCCATTATTTTCTTTAATATTGGTCACTCCAATGTCACGGTAAACGAGTATAAAATATCATTAAAAAATAGCCAGTATGATTCCCCACTCAGTCTAATGTCAATAAATATATACTTTATGTTGTCTAGCTATAGTATTTGCATGTGAAAAATCACATTTTTCAAAGGCACACAAAAAGTCAGCACAGTACAGAATGATACAATGGACAGTTCGTGGACAGCATGTATTTATAAGATTTTAACAGTTGTTTCAATAAAACTATGTTGCTTTTATCAAATTAATTGAGTGAATACCCATACCTCTTGAACCAAAACTTTGTTTTCTTGTTGTCTTTTATTGATTAGTTGCTCCAACTGGCCAACACAAGAATCTTTTTCTTGTTTCCAATTCTAGAGAAGATATATTTTTTTGTATGTGTAAGGTTAACTTCGTTCTCTTAGATTTCAAGATAATTTTGCTCAAAGGAGAAAAAATAAACTAACAATGAAAGTTGTTTTTTTTATTTATTTTTTTAGTGTTATTTTATAGCTACAAACTATTTTTAAAACTCAGCATGTTTTGTCTTACTTAGATTTCAATAAAAAGGCAACTTGTTACTAAAGAATTATATTCACCTCCATTTCCTCCCTGTTTCTTTTATTTAGTCTTTCTTGCTTCTGTATTTCCTTTTCTAAAGCCTGCAAATTTTGACAAAACTTGTTTCTTAATATTTATTGTTAACTAAATAACATTTATGAAAGGGACCGTGATATCTTTATAAACAAGGTGACTGCAAAGGCTTTACATTAAAAGTTTGGTGTTAACTTTTTTTTACTATTTTGGGGGTGGGTGATTAATGAAAAACCAAGTGTGGAAATTCAAAAGATATATCTGTTGATAATTTATATCTAAATCTATTCACACTTTATCATTATATAAATAAACACAAACCTTCTTGCTTTCCAAAGCTTCATTAAAAGTTTCTTGCAATGCATCATAGTCTTTTTCTTTACCTATAAAGGAGTAGAAATAAGAAATTTTAAAGTGGAGAGTGTAACCTGAAATAAAAATTTCAATTTTTCAATGGAGCTAATTAATAAGTATGATCTTTGCCTCTCACTTTTGAAATTTTTGATTTTACACTGAAGCAGTACAGAATATAATAAATGCCAGGTGATAAAAAGATATGTTGTAAGCTAATCAGCAACTTACTCTTTAAATCTTGTTTTAGTTTGTTGATTTCTTCCTTAAGTTGACTGTTGGAATTTTCAAGGTCTTCATTTTTTTGGTCATGTTTGGTTTTTATCAAGGTGTTTTTACTCTTCTGTAAAAAAAAAAAAAAAAAAAAATATTTTTATATTTTTTTTTTTTTTTTTTTTTTTTTTTTTTTTTTTTTTTTTTTTTTTTTATTATTTTTTAATTTTTTTTTTTTTTTTTTTTTTTTTTTTTTATTTTTTTTTTTGATTTTTTTATGTTTTTTTTTTTTTTTTTTTTTTTTTTTTTTTAAAAAGTTTTTTTTTTTTTTTTAAAAAAAAAAAAAAAAAAACATATGTGTATATATATATATATATATATATATATTGATTTTATTTATTTATCTATTTTTTATATGTATATATATGGGCCAAAGTGTCCTCGTTTTACAGCCATTTTAATTGTTTCCATAGTATAGTAGTTACTATCCTAATGTCTCATTTTTTATTTTAGTTAGTTTACATGTTTTTTAATAATTGTAAAGCGCTTAGAGCTTTAAGGTAAGCGCTATATAAAAATGTCTAAATAAATAAATAAATATATTGATTTTATTTATTTATTTATTTTACATAACCCAAATAAGATTTTTGTGAGTCATTATAGCTATTATAATATGTTAAATAGTCATTAAACACTAACAAATAATTTTTGATAAAGTGGTCTTAAATATTTTTGCTCTAAGATTAAAATGTGTGTGTTAGGACAGATAAATGATTTTCCCATCAAGTGGGGAGGGAGGATTGTCTTTAAAAATTCATACAATGGGCTTTATCACATGAATTGTGATCGACTCTTAAAACTTAGGTTTTTACAGACCTGTTTACTCTTACGATTTTGGCGTACAATGTACGATTTTGAGATGTCTTTTACGATTGTACGCCGAGACCCGCCAAAACTACGATTTTCAGAGAGCCGGTGAAAAAAAAAATATTTTCCGATTAAAATTCGTTTGTTGAAGTTTTAGCCTTTTCCAATAAAAATCTACTGGTGAATGGAACGAGAAAAACGATTGGATGTAATTTTTTTTAAATTTGGGACCATCCTTCATTATATTATGTGCGCACTGAGAGGGGAGGTGGGGGCTGTTAATGAAGGAGATTTGCGGCATAC